TCCCAAAAGCATCTTCGACGCTTGGGTTCTCGTTTAGTCGCTAGTGCCGCGGAAGAGCGAGACAAAGCGTGCGTTGTCGGCGACGGAAGATGGATGTGGAGGAGGACGGGGCCGGGGAGGGAAGATGGAGGGGAGCGAGACGGGAGGTGCATGGGTGGGGACGGGGCTGGGGAGGGAAGATGGAGGGGAGCGAGACGGGAGGCGCACGGGGCTGGGGACGGAAGATGGAGGGGAGCGAGACGGGAGGTGCATGGGCGGGGACGGGGCTGGGGAGGGAAGATGGAGGGGAGCAAGACGGGGGGCTGGCAGAGAAGATGGCGCATGGGACGGGGCTGGGGAGGGAAGATGGGTGCACAAGTAGAACGAAGCATGGGTGGGGGTAGCGCTGCTCCATGCTTCGCGGAAGCCTGTTGGGAGGTGAGTGGAGCTGCGTTGCGGGGCTGATACGATGGTGTTGGGTGTCCAAAATGTGCACAATGCACGCGCCAGATAGTCAAGTCATGGCCAACTCGGCAGGATTGTTGCGTGCCAAAAGCGCAACGCATAAAATTGGATGGTTGGAACGAACCATGGAGGGGGCTGATGCTGCTCCATGCTTCCTGGAACGGTTGTCAGAAGCCATGTTCCAATCGTTTTATGACCGTTTTGGAGGGCTTTCAAAACTGACCAAGGGGCGGACGGGGGTGTATATGGCAGACAATAAATTCAACGAACTCAACGAATTCAGCGAAGCAGGACTGCACTGCATCCCTTGAATTGATTTGCGGACTTCATTCGCGAAGTGCCGCAAGAACCTGTGCCATTTGCGATTTTGCCAGGACCCCGCAGGGGATCCTTAGATTTGGCTGTAAGGCTGTGCGATTCAAACCGCCGTGCGATTTAAGAGAGAAGAAGCGCTTTGACGATCCTGTTGCGGAGAGGTAACGCCCGACAACCCCAGAAAAAGTTAGGATTCTTTCAAGATGGCGGGGGAGTTTCCTTGAAGAACCCTTCGCATTGATTTGGTTCGACTTTTGTTGAAACGATATCAACTTATATACACATCAATTTACCAAGCAGCTTGCGCATGGTCATGGGGACTACTCAAACTGCAGGCATGCAAGACTTGGCGAGAGCACGAAGGTGAGTGCCTTCATCCTTCAAGTACTTCATTTGCATTTGTGTTTTGTACTTGGAATGTGAATTATAGAATCGCTGGAATTTATTCCTTGTGATTTCTGAGTGCAATTCCTCTCAAAGTCATGTGTCATCAGGTGAGCCGAACACTATTTGCCGACGAACTTGCAGGCCGAGCGACGAGAGAGAGAGAGAGTCGAGTAGTCGCTTGCAAGAGCACTTCTTCCGTATGCACAGTGCCAGCACGTGTCAGTGAATTGAGAGTGTTTGAGGTGATACGGGCTGAGACAGATGCTATGCCAGGTACCCATGAAAGCTTGAGTCTTGAGACAAACGCGAGAGTCTTGAGACAAATGAGCCACGCCGATAAACCTATCAGTTCTAAATCTGAAAGCAGCGCAACAGAGTAATTCTGATGTATGCGCTGTGCGCTTGCTTCTGATTTTGCTAGGCCGAATGTACTGTAGATTATTTATTTTATGACTTTTTGATATTGTACTTGCTGGCTCAAACTCAGTTTGGATGCTTGCTCAGACTTCAAGAGCCTCTTCGGCGGGATTGGGGTTTGCAAAAAAGTACTCGTGTCAGGAAGCAGTGGAGCTGAGTGGAGCTGAGAGCGAGTTTGCTGCAATCAGCGGCACTGCGGCGCATGAGTTGCATACAGCCAACACTTCCACAACAAAGTGCCGACATGCAAAAAAATCATGTTTGTCACGGATGTTGCTATGGCAATGTCAATTCTAGTGCCCGGTCGACGTCGAGAGTTTTTTAATCAGGTTTGATCTGTCTCCTGCTGGTTGCCAGCATCAGACAGGGTTCCCATTCACGTGGCCCCCACCTAGGGTGTGCCAAGCACTTGGGTTTGCCAGGCAGTGGGTGGGTCACACAATGGGTGTGCCATATTGGGGAAGTGGCCGCGAGATGCAAAAAGGAGCTTATATGTGTATTTTGACAATGACGCAAAGTTATCAACGAATTCAACGAATTCTGTCTGTTTTTAATCAACGAATTCAACGGACAATAAATGCGAAAAACTGTTTGGGGTCTACGCTGGTGTAATGTTTGTAGCTATAGGCTTGTTCGGTTGTAATTCAATTTTTCAAGTCAAGGGAGCGCCGACGCGGCTATTTGGCTAAACCACCCCGCCTTTCTCTCTTTTTGGCTGTTCGATGGTTAGGGAGCTCACGGGTCCGTTCCTGGCAAGCCAACGAAGCTCCAGTTCAGACTACGATAGCGAGAGGCGGCGCTCTCTCGACGAACGTCCGCTACGTAGCACTCCTTGTGATTTCGAGGATCGCTCAAGCTGTTCTCATCCGGTGTTGCGCACTGAAGCGCCACCGAAATAAAGCGCTAATGCGTCGAAGATGAAATCTCCTTCTTCCTGTGCTCCTAAGTGTTGCTCAAGCCGTTCCCATTCGGTGTTGCGCACCAAACAGCCAGCGAGGTCAAGTTTAATGTGTCGGTGATCTAGCAACTGATCTTTGCTCTTGCGATCCCTATATCAAAGTTTGTGTGTGTGTGGAAGAACCCTTGGATCCTTTTGGCTTCAAAGCCGGGGGATGTGGCCATTGGAAATGATGGCTCTTGCATACTACTTGCGTGATTTGCTTAGTTCCCCAGAGAATCATGTCCAGGCTGAGGAGTTCTTCCAGTAGGTGTAAAAGCACCCGTTTGATCAGGGTAAGCCCTCTGAGCGCGTGCATTTTGGGCGCGCAGGCTCACATTCCGAAATCTCCACGCGCAGTTTCTCTGCGCTGGCCCCGGGACGGTGCTTGACAGAGGCGCGCTCTCGTTGCCTTTTTGTGGCAGGTGCGAAGGAAGCGTCGTGTTTTGGTGGTCCAAAAGTCGACTTTTCGTGACAGGTGCAGGAGATCGGGGCAGTTTGACGTCAATGCGCAGCTTTTGTGGCAGGCGCAGTACTTTGGACACGGTGGTAATGGTTTTAGGCACGCTCTGATTTCGTAGCAGGTGCAGTGAACCGTCGTGGCCTTTGTGGACCTTGAAGTGCAGATTTCGAAGCAGGCGCAATACTTTGCGGACCTTGAAGTGGAGCTGAAAGGAGGTGCTCCTGCTCTTCCACCTCCTTTTCCACCAGTGAGGAGGCCATCATGGCTCACATCCCTGTCTATGATTATGCCTCCACCACGGACTTGCTTACGCAGAGCCTGTCCATGGTTGTGGGGAACCCCAGTCAACGCTGCTGCGCGCATTCGTAAGGGAACGCAAAGATCAACCCTGGGGACGCATCCGTGAGGCTGTCCAGGAGTCTTGAAAGCGTCGAGCCGGTGGATCTGCACCAGCTACCAGGTTTCGAGGATTTTTGGAAACGCCACGATCTCAATGTCCACCGTGATGCCAACCACTTCGTCAACACCCTTTGGCTGGTCACAAAGTCAAGAGCTTTCACTTACCGGCACGCGGAGATGCAGGCTGGCGGGTTCCTCAAGGACCACGTCCAAATGTACCTGAAGCGTGTCCCTGTGGCCCCGTCGAGCGAGGGTTTGTCTCTGTTTCCATTGCTCGGAAACGCGCGTGCAGACAGCGGGCGGAGTAGGCTTGTGCCAAAACTATTTGCCAAGATCTGTTGAACTATTGCATACAAGTAGGCAGCCTTCGGGCACGCCATAAGGTGACCGTAGCGGTCCAACCAGCCCGCCATTTTGGCATGGCACAGTCAAAGCTTTTTGAAGGTCCATTGGGACCTGCCGGAGCCTTAGAGTGATGCGGCCTTAGCAAAAAAGTTTAGCCTCCCTAGTCGGGAAGCGTGTGTGTGAAACCCTTGGAGTCACAGGGGTTCTTTTGGTTCTTATTTTCTGGCTTTATCGCAGCAGGGGCACACGGCATCCATGACCCACCGTGTGCAACGAAGCTACGGTCATGGATTGGAAGGGAAGGCTGACCACCTTCCTGGACCTGCAGTTTGTGAATGTTTTAGCCATTCTCCAATCTCAGGCTGTTGCAGGATGATACAGGTCTGCAGATGTGCACTGTCGCTTTCGTTGAGCTTTCTGACATTGGAGTTGGAGGCCTTTGAGGTTTCCAAGATGTTTAGACCACCTTATACTTACACCTGTCCTGGCTCCTTGGGTTTTTACTTGGGCTGGCGTGTGGCACACCGCAATCGAGTCCGTATGCATTATCTTGAGTGTGTGACCTTTGGATTCACATGGAGCCTGTTGGCTTTTTCACTCTCTGACATCAGAGAGGGAAGCATCCACTGGCCGCGGAGGCGTACATGCACTCTGAGTTGTGAATGTTCTTGCGTTGAATGCAAGGGCTGGAAGGAGTGAGGGAAGAGCTCGGCAAGGCAGCGCTTTCAACTGTCAACATGCTACGGGTACGCCTGCAACCTTGATCAACCGGACCCATCGGACACAAACGCATCTACTCAAACCACCCATTGCACAAGGACCAGTGCGCGCCTACCAAAGCACTGCGCGAAACAACTGCAGAGTCACCGTGAAACGAGAGATACAACTCAAGAATCTGCTTACACCTAATCTATATTCCTAAAACATCTGCACCTTTAAACTAAGCCTTTCTTGCTTTCATCAGCGCTCTTTTAGGCACCACCTGTGACCCAATCAATGGTCAATACAACCCAAGCCACCAAACCTCCAGTCCAGCAGGACGATGTGGATTGGAATGGAAGCACGTCCCCCTTACGCGCGGCCCTATCCTCGTATGAAATGAGTGCAATGAGTACAGTGCACGTGCATGACATGAGGGGTGTGAGGTGGGCTGATGGAGCGCGCGTCAAGTGAGAGCTAGTTGTTCTGAATAAGAGTAGTTGAACAAGGACGTTCGGAAGAGCTGGGCAAGGTGCAGAACAGTAATGCCAGCTCGCTGTTCATAGCCCAAAAGTGCAAGCTTGGGGCGCGAACCAATTATCTCAACAGGGCTGACGTTCATTGCATTTTGCATTCTGAACATCATCTCCTGACAGCTTCCTGGCAAAGCGATGTCAATGCCACTGGCAACTCCACGCAACTCACACAATCTCCACAGGGTCCTAAGGAAGTATGTATTTGGACAACGCGTTCAGAAGCCAGCTGCGGCCACATAGCACCTACCTGAGGTGTCGTTACCTGGCAAAACTTCAGACCCAAACGACGAAACTCTCAATTTCGCAGTGCAGCACGCAGCTACGAAACGTAACAGCCAACACCTGCAATGGCCCCAACAAAGGTTGGGGTGGCTGGACTGGCTGCGGTGGCGGTTGTGGAACTGGCACCTTGGAGCAGGTCTTTGCACTCGCCATGAGATCCCTTCTGTGAGATAGTTGCTTGGGCAACCACTGGTGTTGGCTGAGCCAGCACAGAATCATCCTCATGAACAAGCGCCATCGTGGAGCAAGTTGCAAAATGTTCAACTCAGCCTCTCAATTCTTCATGTAGGCTTCGGACCATGTCCAACAAAAGCATATCACCACCCTGTGGTGATGGTGATTGAGCTATTTGAGGACTACCCCCGTCATCCAAATCCAGCAAGTCCACAGCTGATGGAGGCGGCGCTTCCTTGGAAACAGAAACAATATACAACATGTCAACCCCAAATGAGCTGAAATGAAACATCCTGACTTCAGCTGGGCGATGGCAGGTTTAGCAGGCAACAGGGTTGGACTGTTGTCCTCATAGACATTCTCAAGATGCAGCTTTGAACGCTTCATAAAGCTAGAGATATACCTTTGGCCACTGGTGATGCAGTAGCAGCACGATCTCTGGTCTGTCGAACTCTTTTTGGCACGTAACCTATGACTGTGTCTTGAATATGGAGAACACCCCCCTGGTACTAGTGGAAAAACAGGTGGAACTAAACTATGTTGTCGAAGGGCACAAGCCTGCCACCATCACATTAGATGGTCGGCCCATCATGATTTTGGGCCGCATTAGCACACATACATTATATACAGTTATATACAGATGTTGGCCGCATCTTGTTGCCGCTGTTCATGTTTGGGTGGTCGTTGCCTCTGCTTTCACAAGCGCCAATATGGTCATTGCCGACACTTTATAATGTACAAACATGGCAATCATCCTTCTCTGTGCAATCAGAAGATTTTGGAACTAGTTGTATAACGAATTATATAATGATTTGGTGAAATACTTCAACCAGATTCCATGCATCCCGTTGCTCACGCCTTCTTCATGAGGGGAATCCTGTGGGATATCTTCGAGCTCTTGAGGCAATGCTGGATTCGGTAGATTTGGCAAGCTGTCCCATGTTTCCAGTGTCGTTACTACGTTGGTTGATGCTCAGTGTTTGGGCCTCGCTTTTGTACATTTAAATACACAATAATCTTGAAATAACTCCTAACCTAAGTTGTTTGCTGACAATTAGAGTCTCCTCGGTCCCACTGTTGACTTGCTGCAGTTGGCCGCAAAACACACGGAGATCTGGACATCAGTTTTGCAAATGGAAAATGGGACAACGCCCTGAATGTCATGGCAACCTGGATGATATGTATTTTGTAACCAGAGTGTGGGTATGGTGCATCGGGCTCTTGACATGGCTTGCGATGTGTCATATATTGTAAGAACCTCCAAGACAACATTTGCACACTGTACGGTGGGGTCGTTTGGCATTGCCGTAATCTGCAACACTTGTGACAAGTGTGACACAAGAAATACTTTGGGCATTTGGAAACATCACCTGCCGCTCTTCGCAACTTTGATTTGTTGAAAAACGGCTTGGCAAGGTCGGGTTGGTTGTATCAGCTGAAACTGAAACGCAAGATCAGGGAATGACAATTCCTGATCAACAGGGTCGATTCCATGTCTTTGCTTGCGTGTTTACAGCATTCACCACAGTTCACCATCTATGCTTCTGCTGCTGCTGGAAAGCTATGTAGAGGGCTGATCACAGCTCCTTCGGATAAGAAGTTCCTTGGCATTGCAACATGTTTTTGCCACCGGGTCAGAAAACATTGGTGAGAAATTATATGATTGGTTGGTGTGTTTCGGGGGCCAGTGTGTGAATGCATTCATGGTTTTGCTCGATTCATGACTTTGTTGGAGTCACAGCAGAGTTTGGACAAGTCTCGACAACAGCTGCGACCTTCAAAAACGGGTGTGAATTGTGTGCGCAACGTGCGAACATATTTTGCAACTTGTGACTCGCGCCAAAGAGCTTTTCAAAGGCCGTTCCTATGGGAATATGCATGCTTCGCATAACAGCATCCGCGAGACGATGTTTAAAACAATACATTTGTGTTTGTTATTTGTACCAAAAAACGCCCGGCATTTGCAGAGGCTTCTGATATTTTTGACCCCCATGAATCTCAAACATCCGGAAATTTACATTGTTCAGTCACTTCATATTGTTGTGAAATGGTCAACCATCATTTCCGAACTTGAACAAATTGGGATACTTATCGGCCATGATATACATTCAAGCATCGTGCACCTTTGCACTCGGCTGGGCAGTGGCAAGTCATTTGTGGCAGTATTTTCAATCGGGCTGATTTGGTCAATGTTTTGTTGTCTATTTTAATCTTTGATTTCAAGTGTGCAGTGCTGAGTTCCGGCGTTGTGTTCGCCTCATGCTGGGCTGGACACAGTAAGAGTACGGCTAATATTAAATCGCGCAAAAGACCATTGGTTTGGGGCGCCCTGTTCTAATGCAAACTCGAATGAAATCAACTCAAAGGAAACTGCCATGTCACATCTTACTCTTGCCTGCGTTGCAAAACATGAGACTCGCTATCCTGACTCTAAGCGCGCGTCCTTTTCTTGCGGCGGCGCCCGCGCCTCAGAAAGAGCAGCATGTTCAACCGATCGTACACAACCATCAAAGACAACAATAAAGTAGAACACAATACAACCTTAGTGTAAAGCCACAGCTGGGGCAGGTTTTGGAACGCTTGGAGCAGCAGGCGCAGATGCGGCGGCAGCACCACCGAGTCCACTAAACAAAGCTGCGGCCATCCTCTGCTTCTCATTCATGGCACCCTTAGCTTCACTATTTCAGTCTTGACGGCAAAACAGGTTTTGCCAAGTTTCTGAAGGTTCCGCTTTTGGCACAGGTTTCTGGCTTGAGGTTTGAACCTCGGAATCGTTGCAAGCAAGTAAATTGAATGTTGTGCAATATGAGGCTAAATGAAAAAACGGAGAGCCCTACCTGGCTGAAACCTTGATCAGGAGCAACATGTTTCTCTTGTGGTGGGGCCGCTGGGGCCTGTGGGAATCGGAATGACATTTCTCTGACCCGAAAATGCAATTGCGTGCATTGCACGACAAGGGAAGCTGTTTCAAGCGGTTTCTCAAAGTTGATGAGCCCGGCGTTGTGGAAGTTTAGAGAGAGTACACCGATTCCAAGGAATCGGAAAAATGAGCGACCATGTTGAAACAGTATTGGCAAGAAAGGACATGCTTGAGAATTGGGCGGAGACCAGTTGTACACTTCGATAGAAAGTTCCGGTGAAGGATCATAATTTTCAGTGTGTTGTCAGTCACGCAATGCCCTTGACTGGCTACTTTTAGTGCAGAACCGAAAGGTGAAGAGTCAGTTCATTTGAAGGTGTTTCAACAAAAGTAGTTTGCGGTTCAGAACACACGCGCAAGACTCTGCGAAGAAACCGCGGCTGAGATGTGGTGGGGGAAGATTGGCGTCGTAGCTTGTCAACGCCACAAAACCAAAGCAGGCACATGGGACTGGCCAAGTCCCACATCCCGCGATATCACCCAGCTTTTGACCCCTGCTTGTGATTCAGTACGAGAAACGGAAAACGACGGGAGACCCCTGGAGACGGGGTGTGACACACACATGGCCGCAGAGCGGCGCTCGAATGTCAAATACCTGAATAGCCACCTAAAAAGCTTGTAGAAAAAGAGAGAAAAACAGAAAGAGCAAAAGCAGAGGGAAAGAGACAAAGATAGGTGTAGTGACATGCACATCTGTCGAGCAACGGTGCCGAGGGAACGGCAAATTACGGTGTTAAAAAGCCTGAGCAGCCACCTGACAAGCCTGTAAAGAAAGAGCAAAAAGAAGAGGGCAAGAGAGAAAGGTGGGCGTAGTGACATGCACATCTGTCGAGCCAAAGCGCCGAGTGAAGGGCAAATTAAGGCGTCAAAAACCTGAATAGCCACCTCACAAGCCTGTAGAAAAAAACAGAAAGAGCAAAAAGAAAAGGGCAAGAGAGAAAGATAGGTATAATGACATGCGCATCTGTCGAGCAAATCGGCAAATTACGGTGTCAAAAACCTGAACAGCCACCTAGCAAGCCTGTAGAAAAAAAAGACGGAAAGAGCAAAAAGAAGAGGGCAACACAGAAAGATAGGTGTAGTGACACGCGCGTCTGCTGCTGGAAACTGTTACAAGGTATCACGCTAGCATCAAGGGTGAATTGAGACCCAAATATTTAGTGAGGAGTCAACGTGAATCCGTCAGTAAAATTTCAGAAGATTCGTGAACATTGGCTGAGCAGAAAGTGGCAAACCGGCGAAAACGGGAAGCTGGCTTCGGCGCCCCTTGCGGGGATCACACTGCATACCCAGGTGGGAAGATGCAGCAGGTCACACTTCGATAGAAAGTTCCCACCCGCAGGTGCCCCTCTCACCCACGGATGAACCCTCTTCAAGTTTAAAAACCTAAACGGCGCGCAAGCGTCAACAAAGAAAATGTGCCCTACACTACGTTAACGGCCACTCGTGGCAGTATATATTTATATTGACAATATTTCGCGCCTTTTCTTGACACTCAAACGGGCTTGAGCCCATTGAAAGTGACTTGACATGATGCAAGTCACGCTCTACAGGTAGACTGTGAACTGTATGGAAAAATTGGTTCGCGCTCCTTCTTGGCGATGTGAGACTCTAAAAAAAAGCTCCTTGGAGCTCACATTGCCACCGTAGTCCATTCTCTTCCATTTCATGCTTCTCTTTCTTTCTGTGAACTGTCTAAAGGCTGACGATATCTCTGTTTGTTGTCTGTCTGGAAAGTCTCTCATGACTGCACATTCTAGCAGTTCTCTTTCTCTACTATACCTGCTGCCTCGTTTTGTCCACTACTCAGAAGCTTCCAGTGAGGTTGGAAGAGATGAAGGAATCCAATGGAAACGGGAAATTTTAGATCGAGGTGATCGTTGCAATCAACATCTTCCTTGCAGTAGTGATCTTTATGGTCTTGAATTGAAATTCCAAAAGGACAGTGGTGAACAATGGGGTCATACAGAAAGACGCTACTATGACACTTGGCAGCATTTTGCATGGAGAGCAGATGGTATAGAATACAGGACCAAGGAGTTAGACAGTAGAATTGAAGATCTTGAAGGAGACGCCAATGAGGTTAACTATGGAGACAAAATTGAAAGACTGCGCAACTATGCCAGGAGAATTCATTGTGGATTGATTCTCATGGGAGGCTTTACTGAACCCGATACACCAGATACCGCAACAATCAGCGCCTATGATGCGCTACAAGAGTTGAACGCAGGAAACTTCTTAGCAAGAAGGAGCTTGGAAGATATGCAAGCATCAACAGAACAGTATTGGGGACATAAAGTAATGTTCAAGAAAGCTACAGATGGAGCAACACCATCAGAAGGACCATTGAGCAAAATCTTCAACATAGGGAACAGAGAGATATCGATGAGAGGCCAATACATTGCAGAGCAAGCAAGTCAGTTGCGTGGTCGACTTGAAGCAAAGCTTGGGCAACTCCATGAGAAATACACAGAAAGGTGTCTCCTTCTTTGAAGAACGCGTCTGTAACCATTGGCTGCAGGCATCTTTGCCATCTTGTTGACCTTTCCTGAAAAATTCTTCTTTTCAAACTCCCTTCCCTAATATTCTCCTACTCTCACTTGGTCTTCACTGTGCCAGTAATCAATTAGGCTCATCAAGTATCTGGTTCTTTGTCCTCCAAGTGGCTTTGCGTTGAGGTCTGCCATGCTGCTATCTGTTGGCACTTGTACCATCTTGAAATCTTTCCTGTTCTGAATCCATAGCAACTTTCCACCTAGGTGTCTCACTTTTTTCAACTCCTCTCTTTGTCACAAGTTGACACGCGCTCAATGAATCTGTGAAGATGTAATGGTCAACCTTTTCCCCAAGAGCAATTCCAGAACTGCTCTGATGTAGTTTCCATCTGATGCTGAGGAAACTATTGCGTGTAGTTCTGCTTCACATGAAGGTAAGCTTACAATCTCCTGTGTCCTGCTGCTGTTGAACAATGGGCAGCTATTCAACGCATGGAATCCTCCTGATGTTGACTTTCTGTGGCTTTTGCTTCCGCTCCAGTCTGGATCTGAAAATGTCCCCAAGCACCAATAGCTTTCTCCTCCCTTGACATAACCTTCTCCTTCTTGTTGAAACTCAAGCGCTAGGCAATAGTCCATTGCCTTCTTCAAGTAACCCAAGAATTTCATCAAGTGATGAAATGCCATAGCTGTAGGCTTTGACATTCTTGAAGCAAACTCCTTCACTGTGAACGCTACATATACCTCTCTTGACATGGATAGATACCTGATCCAACAATGCTTCTAAAGGGCTAATTTTCTCTGGAGCAGATGTGTAGGGGAATGGCCGAAAGTGGCCTGACATGGAGCGGCCTCACGCAGGTGAAATGTTGAGCGCAGCTGCGGTGTGGACGCCGGCGCAGGTGACTTTGGTTCCAAGAAGAGGGTGAGCAAGACTGCCCTTGAAGCACCCGCGCAGCCAGGTGGTTTGCGCCGAAGCAGACCACCCCAGACACGTATCTCACAACACAAGATGTGCATCAGTTGCAGAGCGCTGACATTCCATCCAGCTCGAAGGTCGACGTGTTGGTCATCAGATGTGCTCGCGCAAGACTTCTGACTTGTCTTCCATCTGGATTGAGTTGTCTGCTGGTAGTTGTTGGGGTTTGGTAGGTCCAATCTGCCCTTCATAGGCTTTCAACATCTGCTGGATGTAGTTGCCTGGTTGGATCCATAATCCATCACCTTTATCTTCAAGTTTGTACTTCCTCCTAAGAAATTGAACTCATCTCCAATCCTCTCAATCTTGCACACAATCCTCTCAATCTTGCACACTGGTGTCGAATTTGCCTTGAACCTTTGGAAGAAAGATTTCATTGATGCGCTTCGAGCCTCCTGTGAAAATCAAGTCATCCGCATGGACCGAATGATACGCTTCTCATGTCTTCCTAGGCGTGGGCGCCCAGCACTTTTGTCAAGGTAGATTCTCTTCACTAGGAATTCTTCTCCTCTCAAGATCACCTTTAATGGTTCTTTAATGGTTTCTATTGCGGGGCTTGTAGCAACGCATCCTTCACATCAAGACATCCTAAATACATCCTAATGTCTGTGAGAATGCTCCTGCTCCCTGTCTTGCCCCATGTTCTTTGGTAACTCTTTGCAAGAATATTGTGGGTAGAAGCTTCAGTACATGTCCTGAAGCTGGTGCGAAAATGTCGTCTCTCTTTCCTTCAACGAAAACAAATTCTCTTGCAACTGGTCTTGATCTTCTCCCCCTCTTGACTGAAATACAATCTCCAAGTTGATATGGTTTCTTCCTCCAGTCATACACACTGCGTGTTGTCAAGTAACAGATTCCTTTTGCGCTTCCCGCTGGTTTCTCTAGCACTTGCATCTTCTGGAGTCTTTTCTCCTCCACTTCATCAGCTACTCTGTCAACCCATTCTTCTGGATCTCCTTCTGGTTCATGCTCTCCATCACGCCACAAACATTCGGGTCCATTGGTTTCTTCTAAGTCTGAATCATCATCTTCTTCATCAACCCGCTCTTCTTCGCCGACTTCTTCTGCAACTCCTCATCTACATGGCAAAGACCTTCTCCTCCAACTTTCACCATGTTGGTCTTGGCCTTCTTGCTTGAACCATCTGATGGCCTGAGTTTCTTCGTTGGGCTTTCCTCCTCAAGCCATTCAAACGCTTCTCTGGGCCTGGATGGCGCTGATGATGATCTCAGTGAAGATGAGATAGGAGTAATTGGGTTTGGCTGTCCTGCAGGCAATGATGTAGGGGGAAACGCTTTCACTTCTTCAGTCTTCTCATCTGTAAAGAGACATTTCTGCTTCTTGCTTGGTGTCTCTTCTCCACTTCTTTCACTTCCATCTCATTTCATTGCTTCAAGAAGGATCTCCGGCGCGGCTGGAGTCTCCTTTGACTCCTTTGGCTCTCGAAACAGTTGTTCTTCTTTCTTCGAATCACTTTCCTCCTTCCAGCGCCTCGGCCATGATTGCTTCTGCGTCCTCATCTCCTCATCTCTGAATTTCACCATTACATGGTCTAGAGGAGTATCACTCTGCGCTGCTGGTGATGCTTCTGCTCTCCTCTTGGTGGCTATAATTCTGCCTCCAAAACTGGCTTGATACTCCCAGGAGAATGCATTGAAGCTTTTGCATATGGGTAAGTATTTGGGCCAATCTTGACCTGTTCTTCTGATGCATTTGCTAAGCACTACCTGCGCTCCATCTGTGAGTACATAGGTAACTTGCCTTTCAACTTTACCCATGAACAAGCGCAAATGCTATCTCGCTTCTCCTTTGATAAGGCCCTTGATGTAACCATGAACTGGTTCACCATACTCTGCTATAAGTCCTTTATAGCTCTTGCCATAGACAAGTTCATATGGAGTTGCTCCTTTGACTGGTTGAAATCTATCCAATACCCAACTGGCATGTCTTGCTGCCCAATTCCAAAGTGCATGATCTGATCTGGCCCAATCTCGATACCAAGTCGACTGCACACCCTCAATGAAAGTTCCTGCCAGCTTTCCCACCCTGTCAACTGTATTCTCTGACAGAAATGAAGATCTCCAAGCTTTGAGTTAACCAATCTGGTAGTGAGTCCTAGACTGCGGCGAGCATTGATCAGCATCTTTAGGTGATTGCTGAATGCCCCAGCAGTTGACTGAAATTCATCAATTCTTGCGCAATTAGACGAAGCTGGCCTTTGCTCCCTATTGGCGCAACATGAACTAATCCAGTTTGGCTGTCAATTGCACCTAGCCAACATACAGCTCTTGCTGAGATTGTTTCTGAGCCTCTTGCTCTTGTATAGCAAGTCAAAACTTATCTCAGGAATACTTCCTCTCTTCATCCGACCTGTTCGTTCATGGCGATCTGGGCGCGCTCGATGCACTCCTTACACCAATTGGCATATGGCATGTGTGTCAATCTATGCCTTGCTTGAGTTGCTTCATCTGGCATCTTTGCCACACTTTGTCCTAATTCCTCTCTAGTCTCCTGAGCTTTTGCTTCGCTCACCAAGCATTTGGCATTCAAGAATTCCATCTTTTCGTTGTGATCCAGGATCTTGGTGTAGACCTTTAGCTTAGAGCCACTGCCTGAAATGCCGAGAAATGAACAAGCTGCCCTCAGAGTTGCCAAAGATGAACCTTTAGTCAACTCTTTCCGTTCACCGTCTATATCCATTGGGCTCAATTGCAGCTCACACTCAAGGTCGTCTTATTTCTTTTCTTGAAGACCTTCTACCTCCTTCTCCTGTGGAGTAGGGGTCTAGTGCCTGCTGCACTCCTTTCTTTCTTTGCTCTTGGTTCTCAAGCTTCTTGTATCCTGGCGCAAAGAACCCCATCTCTGGTGGTGCTGGCTCATAGCTGAAGATTGTGTTGATTGAAGGAATGGTTGCGTCATCATCAAAGAATTGCTCATCAAGTTCATCCTTTTTCATCGCGCTCTCACAATACGCAGGGCTTCGCCATCGACCTCCTCTTTTCACCAAACCCTCTTTTCACCAAAGTAGTTCTCAACAGCTCTGGTGGTTCTTCCACGTCTGGAATGACTGTGGGACCCACCAAACTTTGAAGTCAATAAGCTTCCCGCTTCAGGTACTTGAGCCTCCAAGCAGTTCCTATCTTCATCTCAACTGACTCTACTGCGGCCTTGAACGGTCAAAGAGCGATTTTGCAGGTTGAGTGGTACCTTCAAATCACCATTCTCCAATATTTGCTCTCTGCTGCTGATTCTAACCATGTTCCATCAACCCCCCTTAACAAAGTATAAGCTGATTCACCTTGGAACTGAAGATCGCATTCTCTTTGAAAAGAACTTCTCGTCCATCAAGGTCACGCAAGGAAATTTCCACTTTTCGCACCTCCTCTGGGGGTACGATTTGCTTGAACATCCTGTAGCTTGGTCTTTGCGCTGAATTGCAGCTCTCCATTCCCACGATCTGCCACGCTCGAAGGGAATAATGCTACATCTGCTCCACTGTCAATAATGATGGCCACATCCGCAGTCTCTTCCCCAAGTCTTCTCACCATGGGTTCATCATGTGAGATGTAAATTTCTTCAACTTCTTAGAATTCTGGCTCATCATCATCATCATCATCGTCTCCAATGTAGAAGTGAATTGCTCGAGTTCCTTGATCTTCTAGCTCATCATCTCCTTGTCTCAAGTCAAAGATGGTTGGCTCACAGTTCACAATTCTCCTGACCGCGGGTTTGTTTCTCTGCTGAGCTCGCTTGTTGGCCCACGCTAGCATGTTGTTGACCAACTGTATGATTTGTCACTGTTGCTCATCCCGAAGATGAATGGGTCTGGTCACTTGCTACCTGTCGAATATAGTTCCTCCAGCAGTCTTTGGCAAACTGTTTTTGCTTTCCACAAGTGTACACGCTGCCAGGCAATTGTCTTTCTAATCTTTGCGTTTGCCTTTACCCTTATGGTCACCTTCTTTTCCTTTCTGATCTCCTTTTCCTTTCTTCCCCTTGCTCTTGGCATCTTTACCTTATCCTTTCTGACGGTCATTCTTGCCCTCCTTACCTTTTCCTTTGGCATCTTGGACTCGATCAACATACATTGGCATAGGTCCTTGATATTCTGTGCTGCTACTAGCCACCGTGGAAGTAGCCCACTTCTGTTGAGATCTATCCCATTGCAACACATGTTCCCTCAAAGTTGAGTGTAGAACTTTGTCACCAACTGTCAAGTTCTAGGATTTGAGTTGTCCACCTACGCATCTCAAAAGAATAGCAGGTGTCAACTCTTCCTGACTTGTAGTCCCTGCCTTGACAGTCTCATCAAATACCTCTTCAAGCTTCAAGAGTTGAGGTTGTTGCGCGCTATTCGTGGAAAATGCTGGCCAAGTAGTGCCTGCTCCCAAGTGCTCCAAGCCTCTTGCCTTTGAATTTGGTTTCAAAGCTTTATTCAAACTCCTCCAAGCATCAAATCCATTGGAGTCTTCCAAATTGCAGCGCCCTTCCTCTCATCAATGAAGCTAACAATCCATAGAGCTTGATGCATCTAGCCTTCTCTGCCTCAGTTGCCAAGTTCATGTCAAACTTGTCATTTAGCTTTTCTCGAATTTCCGTCAAGTCCTTCACGTAGCCCTAATCAACTGCGCCCAAATACTTGTTAAAGACCCATGACCACTCTCTAAATGCCTTGATCTTTTCATCCTGTGACTTTTCAGTCAAAGATGTTGGGCTTTGCTATCAGTTTTGACCTTGCGCCAATGTCTCTTTGACACAATGTACTGGGTACAGAGTGTCGCTAACAACCATTTTCACCAGTCGTTTGGGTTCCAAAGGCACCAAATCTATGGCTCACACTCGCACCCGGGGTCCCAGTGACCTAGGGGCTTTTCAATCAGAGCTCCAGACGCACCTTTTCTTGATACTCACAAGGGCGTGGCAAGTAACTTGACACAATGCAAGTCATGCTATACAGCAAGACTGTGAACTGCATGGAAAATGGCTTGCAAACGTACATATGTCACGTCAACCATGGACAAGCATGATCGCCGGCAGATTATTACACGAGTCCATGAATCTGAAATGAATGAAAGAAAACGGGTGGCCACCAAGTTTGTTCTAAACGCATGCTTTCCCAATGCAAAAATCAGAAACCGCTGGATGAGGCCTGGGGAGGCTCGCCTTTGCCACCAGGCTGGTTGTATCCGCTCGGTCCCCATTTTCTGGGACCAGAAACCTGTCAGTTGGAAGCAATGAGAAGCTACAACAGGCAGAAAAATTCACAAACTCGTATATAACTCGGCGCGACGTAAAAACGTAGAGTATCAAATCCAAGCGTTCCACATTCAGACCCGTCGGCACAGGTGCTTCACCACCTGCAACACACCAGCGTTTTCAAGGAGACCCTCTGAGCCCGCTCAAAACACTCATGCTTGAAAATCGTTTTTGCAGCGCGCGGAATTCATGAACGCTGCGGACTCTTTTCTCTCAAGTCAAACGGCCTCATATAGGTGTGCTCTTGACTGTGCATGTTGTGACATCTTCAATGTACATGTAGCATGAGTACGTGTCTTGTCCTCACGAGCTCCTCCTTTTGGGAGGTGACTTTAAACTCCGTCCCAAACTTCTGCACCTCTATGGCAGCACTTTGCCGGGGTCCATGTAAGGAAAGGTTCTCTGTGCATTTCACCCTCCAACTGTGAATTGCCAGTTCGTACCGCATGGTGCCACAGTGCTTCAATCTCCAGCAATTCCTCTCTTGCCACCAGGTCTGCCCTCGCCATGGGCTGGTTGTGGACCCTGAATGGGACCTCAACACCCTCTGCCTCCCACTGGTCCACGATTGATTGGCTCTGGCTCAGAAACCATGGGCGTGTACCCCACTCCCAAACCAGATGGCGCAGGCTCCACATACTTGACCGGCGCGTCCACCGGATCTCTGGCCCACCACCACCTCGTTCACTTCGAAGTTGACCTTGACGCCTCCATCGCTTTCGAAGTCGTAGACCATCAAAACCCTCCAGGTAGTCCCAGTCTGTGCCTGACACTGAGCCTGACTCGACATGTCCACCTGCAAAGATTAGGCCCCTGTAGACGCGCTCCATGAAGTCTTGAGCCATCGATTCCTCTCTGGTCATCTTGCCCTTGTCAGCCTTCAGCTGGTCTATGTAGGCTTGCAGCACGTCCACCTTCTCTCAAGCCTCTTGAACTTGTTCCAGAGAACCATCGCTCCAAAGACCAATGCTCCGATCGCGATTTAATTGGGCTCGATCATCGCCATGTCCGTGCTCTCACCCGCAGCCAGCTCGAGGCCGCTGACCATCATCAACCTGTTCAGGTACTTGGCAACTTTCATGATCTTTCCGTTTTCCACACGCTGTTCCTGGAACTGCTGGCGCTCTGTCTCTCCAACACGGTCTCCATCTCCATCCTGAGCATGGCACCAAAAGAGGAGTAGGCGTAGCCGTGCCTTTGAGAGAGGTTTGGTGCCAATGTCTGCAGGTTGTAGGCAGTACCGATTTGCTTCACCTCCAGCCTTGGCCCTCCATGCCATGGCCTTTGGGAGCGGACGCCGCTAGATGGGGGATTCCGATGCATTTGAAGAAAGGTCATCCCCTCTTCCATCAACTCCGCAGGGCGGGATGGCAGCGCTTTCCTCCTCCTGAGAGTCACTGCTTTGTCGGGGCTCAGCGACTGTGGCGGGGGCGGCAGGACAATCGCTAAGGCGATCACCCTCACGCTCGTCCTCTGTAGCGCTCCCAATGTCTTCCATTTGGGAATCATTGTCCCTGCCGCACGGCGTCGTGGGCGCTTCCGTTGCATCCTTCTCCAGCTCTTTGACAACAAAGGCCACATCCACGCGCTTGCGCCAAGTAGATCCCCATGCCCACTATGGACCTGTAGATGGCTGCGTCTTCTGGTGAGGCTAGATTGGAACCGTCTGCATCTTGTATGTCAGAGGTTGCAGGCAGCTACTGCTTTCGAGCAGGTCCAAAATGGTCCTCATAGGTCTTGATGATGTTCGATGCATATTGACCTGGCTTGATCAGCAACCCATCCTCCACAAAGACATACCGCCTCTTCAGGAAGGAGAACTCCTGTCCATAATCCGTGACCATCATCATGTCCACCTCAAACTTCTCCTTCAGCTTCATGACGAAGTCTTCCACTGGCTTTTGCCTTCCTGTGAACATCGCATCATCTACGTGGATGAGAACGCACACCAGGTCATGTCCATGCATGGGTTCATCACGTCAAACTCGAAGTTCAACTCCTCAGCCAGGTAGCTGCGCAGATGCTCATACCATGCCTTCGCACCAATTTGTTGGCCTGGCAGGTTCTTATTGACCACTGAGTTCAGAAATAGCGCTGGCAACACGCTCAGACATCGTCCCTCTTGTCATTCGCGCGCCGCTCCCTTGCGACCATTCTGGATCTCCTCAACCATCTCTTCCTGGAAGGGCCTTCCTTGGAAAATAGAGCTTCGCCCGCCAGTCATGGAAGTCCTCGATCTTCAGATTCTCCAGCGCGGCCATTCTCATGAGCCGCTGTCCCTCCACCTATGTTCGCCAACATGTCCACCTCGGGAAGCGGCTCTGGTGGTGTCCTGTTGACAATGGCTCATCACTCCACAGTTCCTCACGGATTGCTCCTGGTAGAAGATCTTCTACTTCATCTTCCGCATCTTCAATTGCCAAGAGTCTCGACATCCACCACCTCGTCCAGATGGTACATGGTCTCCTCCTCAATGCAGACCTCCTGAACTCGCCTTTTGACAGTGAGCTGGTGCGACGCCGAACTCGATGAACCCCCAGCGCCTTCACCATGTCGCGCACGCTTTGCCTCAGGCTCTGCTTTGACTGCACTCTTAGGTGGCGGTAGCTTTCTCAAAGCTCTTCCTTCAGGAGGCGGTTCCTCATCATCCCACGCCAAAGGGTGAATCACCATGCGAACATCCATCTAGCCCCTCTCCAGTGTGGTCAGCAAGACTTGGTGTGTTTGCAATCCTCCACTTGGCACTTCTTCACTTCTTGTTGCGGGGCTTCCGGCGCACCGTTCAACCTCTTCAGCTTCGGTGCCCCTGCAGCGGAAGAAAACCTCCTCCTTGGGCAGCGCCTTCGTCATCTGAAGTGGAATAACACTAGCAGCCCTTTTGCTTGGAGCAATCCTCCCGCCGAAGTTGACCTGGTACTCGAAGGACGCAGTGGTGAAGTTCTGGTAGTAGGCGAGGAAGCTCTTCCACGGTCTTGCCACTCTCCTCGCCGACCTTGTCAGCAGCATCACTTGCGACCCATCTCCAACTATCCAAGAGTCTTGACCCTCCGTCTTCCCCTTTCCTGACTGGGGTCAAACGAGGGCGTAGACAGGGCGTGTGAAAGGCACCAGCAGACCATCATAGGCCTTCCCACGCATGAGCTCATAGCTGGTGGTTCCACTGCTGGCTTGATACCTGTTCAACAGTCAACAGGCGTGTCGAGCGGCCCAACTCCTCAAAGCATGGTTGGCGTTGCAGGGACGTCCCCTACTCCATCAATGTGCATGCTAAACCTTGACCTTCGTGGTGTAGAGCCTTGTGGAACCAATGGTTGGCTCATTGTCTCCATATAGTCCAACCCAAGCTCTGCGCAAAGGTCATTACCTCCCTGGCCATCAGGTTGAGTTGGCCCTTGGACTGCAATGGAACTGCGCCAAGTGTTCCTGTCTGGCTACACATCAAACCCCAGACTTCACCTCGTTGATTCTCACCGCGCCTTGACCTTCATCTTGCTCAGCCTCATAGAGGTCCACCGCCATGTCTTCATCCACCTCTTGCCCTCGATCAACTCGTTGTGGCTCTCTAGCCCAGTGAAATCACTGGCGCACCTCCAATCCTTGATGCACCAGTTCTCATGCGGCGATCAGGTCTTCCACGATGCAGGTCTCACACCACGGCTGGTATGGCACATGGGACAGCGCACGTAGATCTTGAGCTTCCTGAGATGGCAGTGGGATCAAAGGTTGCGTCCTTGGCGCACAGCTTCAGCTGCCGCCTTGATCTCCCGCTCCTTGAGGTAGCTCACCAGTCTCTGGTAGCACTTCAAGCGGCTTCCTGATTGGCTCACTCCGAAAAAGCGACAATCAGCTCTCAGCTCTCTCAACCTACCTCATTCACGATGATGTGGTCTGGTAGTCCTGCTCCAAGTTCAAATCTTGTAGTGGAAGCGGCTCTGCCACAGGAAGCTCATGTTCCCTCCTGGGCACCTCACGTGGTGCTCCCAATTCGGAGTCGACCTCGAAGCGCATGTCCTCTGTTGCCGCGGCCTCCTTCGTCAAGATGGTCAAGATCAGGATGTTTTCCGCAACATTCTCAAGAGGCTCCTCCTGATCTGGTGGACCATGGTGAGAGATTCACACATCTGAACCAGTCGCCACTTCCCATCAACTCTTGCCAGAGTGGTCCTCAGCCAATCGATGCCCCCAGGAATGCATCCCACATACTGGATATTCTGCATCTTCTTGCCCACATGCACTCCAACCCAGCGATTGTCAACTTGCTTCCAACCAACTTGCTGCTTCACCTTCTGCAATCGCCCTCACGTAGACGCAGCCTTCTGCAGTCAGGCTCTTGTTTTGAAGCCTCAAAGGAACCATCAATGCTCCATCCTCCTTCAAGAAGCTTGCCAGAGGAGAGGATTGGCTGTGAGATGCCATCTGAAAAGTGCGCCTCGTCATACATCTGAATTTCCTTGCCGTTCTCGTCCTCAAAGTGGAAGCAAACATGTCGATTGTTGCGTCCGATGATGATGATGATGATGATGTTCACTAGCTCATCATTCTCTATCGCCTCAGCGCCATTTGACTGCATGGTTCGTGACCATGTTGATGCTCACACCATCTCATCTCCAAGCCCTGAAGCCATCTCCTCCTCGCCGGCAACGTTGTAGACCTGAACCACCCTCACTGAAGAAGATGTCCCTCCAGTATTTTGATTGCATTTGCTGGCTGGATGACCCGGCGAGCTGCACAATGTACATCGATGCGCGCTCTTGCCTGTGTTGTGACACTCTGCACCTGCAGCAAAAATTGCCGCAGGGTGGATTGCCGTTGTTCCAACTGTAACAAATTGCGTCCTGGCCTTTGCTTCCTTTCCCTTTCTCGCCGCAACCTTTCTGTGAGCTCCCCGAGTCCTTCCCACCATTCCTTGCGCTCGCCCTCAGGTACGCCACCTCCTCCTTCTCGGCCTGAATCCTCCTTCTCTTGGCGTCCTTCCTTTCTTTTTTCGCAGCTGCCCTTCTGCTTGAAGTCGCCGTCGATGAACCATCGCCAAAGGCTCCCGACCCCATTGCCTAGATCAGGCTGTCCGCCCCGCCGCCACGTCAGTGCAGGTGCATGCACTTGGTCCTGCCAGAACTTTAGTTCCAACGCTAGCATCTTGAAGACGGTCTCCTACAAATGTCCCGGATCGAAACCGGCAGGAGGTGGGCCCGGCTTCTGTGTCTATGACGATCCTTAGTTTGAGCCTCCCAGCCATGTCTCCACGGGCCATCTCGTCTGCCCTATACACCAAGTGCTATGCGTCTGGATACAACCTCGCCAGCTTCTCTATGAAGAGCTCGTGCGAGTGCTTCCTTCAACATCACGAAAACTCGATAGAAGAAGTTTGCTGGTCCAGGAAGTTCCTTGGAGATGCATCCATCTGCCGTGAGGATCCAGGTACGAAACTTCGAAGCTCTGAGTGCTTTGCGTCCAACCCAGATCCACAAATGGAGTGAGTCCCGAACTGATCTTCTTGCGCAGGGCGCTCAACTGTTCCAATGTTGGCTTCCCTTCTTCCTCCGGCAACGACCCCATCGTCTGGATGTAGTGCTGGAGCCACATCTTCTTCTTCTCCTCGGGTAGGACCAGGAATTCGGAATCGTCGCCCTGGTCGATGATTTGGTTGCATTTCATCTTCCTCTCCTTCGCGGCGGCCGCGTTCCTTGTCTCCACCTTGCTCGATGTTGCAGGCGAAGCAGGCGCCGGGGTCGACCAAACGTCCTCCTCTATCCATGATGTCCAGTCTCCAACGCCTCTCACGCGTAGTATTCTCCTCGCAAGTTTCCAAACCAATCCCACTTGTGCGGCCTGGATTGCAGTCAGGGGTGTCCGACCATCGATGCGACCTTGTTCGAGGGCAGTGCTGAGCTGGTAAGGCAGCCAAGAGGCGAGGGCTGTCGGCCACCTCGGCCACAAAGCTCGCCCGTACCGGTGGCTCCCAAAGTGCCCCACCAATTCGGAGAGCACATGCATCTCCATGGCAACTTCTTCGGTCGGGAGCATGGCCGCACGCGAGGACCAAAGCTCCCACGATGAAAACAAACATCTTCCCCTGCAAGGGGGGGATGCTTGAGCCAAAAGGCCAAGACATCCACCATCCCCCCCCTTGCTTCCAGTTTTGTCCTGCACAAAGTTCCTTTGTCATTTTGTTTTACGGCAAACGGCCTCATATGGGTGTGCTCTTCTTGACTGTGCATGTTGTGACATCTTCGATGTACATGTAGCATGAGTACGTGTCTTGTTCTCACGCAAATGCGCTAAAACGGTGCAGCACTTTTGGCGCAAAAGAGTTGCTTTTAAGGTCCACAAAGTCAACCAAGAAACTGGGATGATTTCTGCGCAAACCAACCGGAAAATTGTCATCCCAAACAACCCAAAGTCGTTGCGTGTACTTGCCACTTGTGAAGATTGTGGTACATGCTGCTTATTGCCAGCAAAGGGCAATGTCGAGTCATGGCTTGTCTACACACCTGTAAGTTCCAGCAATCCACGCCACACGTTTCCAAGTCTGGTTTGGACGCATGTGTGGGAACAGCATCCCTACAAGCTTCCAAATCCAACAGACAGCTTTGACAGCTTTGGCATTCAGATCTGCTCCGGCACCCCCCAAGCAGAACCTTCATGTGCAGTTTCATCGTCATCGACTTTTGAATTGGCGCGCCAACTAATCCAGTAGGAGTGCCTTGCCACTCACCAGCACACTTTGTAAGCAAGATGTTTTGAACTGGTGTCGGTGGCCAAGGTCTTTGTTTCAGATTACATTGGCAAACCAGGCAGAGGCATCATGACTCGGGCTAATGGGCGCCGATGGCCACCGCCGATATTGTCGTGTCTGAAAACCATTGACAAAGTCAATGAAATGGGAAACTCTATGCCTCACAGCCTCATAGCCCTCCGGCTTTGGACAACGACAGCCGCGTTGGATGACACTTGTCAAGTGGAAAGAAGGTCCAGCTGCAAAATCACAGGCACACCGCACGGATGAAGCAACAAATGGCATAGACTGTATGGAATGGGGCTACCAGCGGCTACCATGCCAATGGAAGGACACAGGTGCACAGGTGTAAAGCTAGCTGCATGCGAATAGTGGTCAGCGAGTCGCTTGGGGAAGCGTCACAGCTTGCACCGCCCTCTCGGCAAGTAGAGCAATTCAAGCATCGATCCAGTGTTCATGGATCTGCCAGTCAGCTACAACCTTCCCCCCCGGCCAGTCTGAATACAAAGGCCGCATCTTTGAGCTTACCCCCGCGACTGAGAAATATTCTGAAAGCGCCCCAAGTCCGCTGCGCTCAGGGTAATCGTTTGACATTTCCTTTTAGCACACTCGCTCAAGTACTTCTTGTCTGTGCAACTGTTCGTAGTTTGGGAATTCCTTCCTTATCAACACTTCCTATGACAAGCACCTGTAATGACGCGGATTTCCAGATATGAAACCGCAGGGCACGGCGATTTCACGTGCGCTCTTAAACTGTGCCTCTCACATGAAATACACATGGCTTCTGTGGAGGCTGGAGACTGCATGACATGCCACGCTTGTGCCGTTGTAGTTCTTTGCATGTGTCCTCGCGAGTACATGCCCTTGCTGTGAAATATGTGGTTTTTGTATGGGGAATCACAAATTGATAGCGTTGTTGGCCGGATTAGAGCAGATTAAGCGCGCGCGCAAATGCTTGCGGGGTTGGGTGGGTGCTAATTTCATGGAGCTGCCACAAGCACTTGCGACGTTGCGCAACATCTTTTGAGAAACAAATATATAGTTGTTCCATGTCCCAATGCTTTGCTTGTCCAGAATCCGACACCTTGCCTCGCATCTCATGACTGTTTGACACCATACTTTGTGTGAATGATGAGCATCCATGGAACCGAGTCCCAAATGGGATGCCCCCGTCCGAGTATGCCGACACAGCCAAAGATGCAGCATGGATCTGCGAATGAGTCTTGCAAACACTCCAAAAACACATCCTTACGAAGCACTGCAAATACCAATGGAAAACAACTATTGGATAGAAATTCTACTAGCCGAAACATCTGCAGAGGCTGCAAAGACACGTCGATACCGGGCGGACTAACATTGTTTGCTCGATGGCTGAACTTGCAACGCAATCCACCAGCTTCAAATAAGCCACAAGTATATAACAAATTGGCCTGCTGCATCGTGAGTTTCAACTGCTGGAGGAAACGACACTGGCGGCGCTTTCGTTGGGGCCTGCAAGAGAATTGGTGAGGCTGATTGGCATGAATTATATATACAACCTGAGTCAATAAAACAAGCGAAACACAAACATAGGCGTCCTCATAGGGCATAAAGTTTAGGGATGGCTTCGTTTCCACCTCAGCCTGCGGGACAGTATAAAACATGTTATTTGTTATTTTCACAAGCGTGCAGTGAAATGGGGCTCGTCTCTGACCCTGCACCCATTCTGCTTTGCTCTGCACGTGCACGTGCTAGCACGCGACTCGTATCCTCAACATGGTATCCCTTCTTTTCGAGGATGCTCCAATGCAAAGGACACGTATATAGCTAAGGTTGTGGGCCAAAGCTAGCTGAGCAGTCTAGCTGAGCAGTGGACTAGCAAAGAATGATGTGTTCTTTCTGCGGCGTACAACTTAGCCAGATCTGCAATGCATTTGTTGTTTCTGTTGCAAAAATTGCTTATGCAGGTGTATATCTATGACTGCAACTCAAAATCTCTCTATATATATACAAATATATACTCGCAACTTCCTCTTCACTCTTGTGTGAAGTGCAGGATGTTAGGCTTCAGTGACAAAGCTCAAAGTTTCCTGTTCAACCAATTTAGATCTTGCGTTCCTTTTTTCACACCTCAAACCAACTGCAATTATGTAGTAAGTGTTTCAAACGAGCCCCGGATGCCTACCGAGAGAAGGATAAGAGCAAAGACAACAAAGACTTAGCCGACCAGTAAAAACATCGGAAGTAAAGACACTGAGAAGCGGGACAGGACAGTGAACAAGATGGCATGGAACACCAGGAGCAACAGCACTGATATCAAGGTTTCTGTCTTCATCTTCATCTTCAATTTCACCTCCATCATCATTATAATCTTCTCCTTCTCTATTTTTCTCGATTCTTCTTCCTTCCCTTCTTCTTGCTCTTTTTCTTCCTCCTCTGTCCTCGGCCTCGGCCTCTTCCTCTTCCCCTTCCTCTTCCTCTTCTTCTTCTCCTTCTTCTGCTTCTCCTTCTTCTGCTTCTGCTTCTTCTGCTTCTGCTTCTCCTTCTCCGTCTTCTCAGTCTTCTCCTTCTTCTTTCTATTTCCCCAATAATTAGCCATGCTATGTCGGACGGGCGCCGTCGGGTCACCGTCAGAGCAGGTGGGCGGATGGTGTCCTGGTCAGGTTGTGATGGTGTCCGGTCATGTTGTGACG